CCCCCCCCCCTGGCTTCTTGATTGGCCAGAAAGCCGGCTCCATGCTTCCTCCTCACCTGGTGACGCGGGAGCATGAAGCCAGCTTCCCGGCCATTTAGGAAGCCGGGCGGCGAGTCATTACCCACCCCCCGGCTTCCTGATTGGCCAGAAAACCGGCTTCATGCTTCCTCGTCACCTGGTGATGAGGGAGTATGGAGACGGCTTCCCAGCTAATCGGAAACTGGGCGGCGAGTCACTACATGCGGACCGACTTCCGTAATGGGATTTCTGTATTCGGTATCGGCGAGTAGCAAAAAAAAGATATCGGTACTCGATAGCAAAAAACTGTTATTGGTGCATCTCTATTAAGCACAGTTGTAGTGTTTGATGGATTGTATTAGCTGTTGATGGATAAGACTTGTCGACTGGAACTGCATAATAGCTCCCATTTGGAACGGCACATTAGAATCGGCAATATGTGTCTTTTATTACAGCTAGAGTTAATGCCTCCTCAATAATATTGGCTGCGATGACAGTGAAAAATAGGAGCTCGTGCCATAAGGAACGTTGTGTAATCATCTGTAATGAGTCACAGTTACAGCCTTGTATAGGGATTTGTTGGAGCAAATTGTGGCGGTTTCCAAAGCCCTGATCGAGAGTCTGTTAGTAACGTCCAGAGGCGCAGCATTGTTCACCTATGGATTGCTCAGTGTCACAATTTTGTGTAGTAGTTTTAAGTAGAAATACATTCTCCTCAATGATAGTCTAAGCCATCATTTCTCAACCTTTTTTTATTCACGGCGCCCTTTAAAAGTATGAAAAATCTCGAGGCACCCCAGTCTAAAATGTCATAGATTTTAAGAGGGACCCCACACAAAAACACCCAAAAACGTGTGTTTCCCCCTTCACCTTGAAGCAGTGGCGGAGCTAAGGAACAAAGGGCCCTGGTCCGCACCGCCTGCACCGGCGGTAGTTCCGCCACTGCCTTGAAGTGCCCCCCTTCAAATCAAGATCACCCTTGGCATCAGAGTCACCCTTGGCATCAGTAACCCCTTTCACATCAGAGTCACCCTTGGCATCAGTAACCCCTTTCACATCAGAGTCACCCTTTGCATGAGTAGCCCCCTTCACATCAGGAGTCCCCCTTTAACATCATTCTTCATTGCCCCTTTCACATCACAGTCCCACCACCCCAAAATTTTGAGGCATCCCTGAGGAAGTCAGGAAGCACATCAGAGTGCCATGGCACCCTGATTGAGAAAGGCTGGTCTAAGCAACTACCAAATCCAGTTACTATGTGATGCACAATCCTCATAAAGCAAACAATCAACTTTGTCTTTTCTAACTGAGCAAATGCTTTTTTGTGTCTCACTCACTCCCCCTCCCAGACACTGCAGCTCACAGTGGGAGGGTTTCAGCAGCAGGGGCTTTGATGTAAATCTGGAAGCAGTGGGCAGGAGCGGGCGTGGTTGACAAGCCACAGGCTTCTGGATCAACCCCCCTGCAACCTCTTCTCCTTTAAAGGCTGTGACAAACCGCACGCGGATCGGTGGCGCGCTGCCTTTGCGAGCAGTGTGTCATGTAATTTTCTCCCTGGCACGTCAGCTTGTGAGATGAAAAATGTAATCTTCAGCCAATCGGTTCGCGTGTATAAACCCGCGCGTCAGGATGCGACGTCTGGCCGGTTGTTACGCACGAGCCGATTGGCTGAAGGTGCAGTCAATCATCTGCCTGCACTCACCTCACACACTGCACGCAGACAGCTTTGCTTCGCTCTGCACGGCTTTGCGTGCAGTGTGTCACGGGCTTCACTGTAGTGCAGGCAGGCACAGGTTACATGGGAGTGGCAACTCTGCTTGGCATTCTGGAGCAGAGGAGCTTAGTTGCCACCTCATCACAGGAAGCTGCATTAGGTGGACCACACGGGCTAGAGCAACAAGTATTTGTGTGACTTTGCAGGGGGACTAAGACTGAACTGGAAGTGCAGGCGCTCTTATAAAATGCTGCAGCACTAATTTTTTTTAATGGGAGGCCATTGTTCTGCTTTAAATATATTGGCTTAATACGACTGTTAAAGTGGAACTTCCATGCAAGCCCCCAACACTAATGACTTTGAAAAGCTCATCTAAGTCTCCATGCACAGGGATGTCTGAAAAGGCAGCAATGCTAAAGAAAGGCCTCTACAGCAGGGGTAGGTAAACTCCGGCCCTCCAGCTGCGGTGCAACTACAAATCCCATGAGGCATTGCAAGACTCTGACAGCCACAGGCATGACTCCCAGTGGCAAATGCATGCTGTGATTTGTAGTTTCATCACAGCTGGAGGGCCGGAGTTTGCCTTCCTCCTGATCTACAGAAACAGTTTAGAGTTGTCTGAAAAGGGAAAGCATCCCCAGTAACCCTTGAGTAGTATATGGTCCCTAGTCTCCTTTACAATTGGTCTGCAAGAGCAATCAAGGGTCACGGAGAGGCCTTCCTTCATTTAACACTGGAAATATCTTCTGTCCGTCTCTCCTCCTCATGCACCTTTTGTACACTCGGAATTTCTTGAGCCTAAAGAATGTACAAAATCTTATTTTTTAAAGTGCTTTAAACTTCGTCTTTAAGATGCTTGGTGTCAGGAGGTCCGGCACCGGAAGAGGACGTAGGAGCTGGGGAGGGGATATTTTTTTAAATGATGCGTAAAGTTTTGATTTCATTTGCTTATCTCTCTCTCTTTATTTCAGAGATGTGAACACCACAATCATGGAGCTATTAATCATGGTATATGCCTGCCGGACGTCATGTGCAAAGACGATCAGCGGCGTCATCCCTTACTTCCCCTACAGCAAGCAGTGTAAGATGAGGAAAAGGGGCTCCATTGTCTCCAAGCTGTTGGCCTCAATGCTGTGTAAAGCTGGTAAGTCCGAGTACCAATGTATGTACATTCTGTCTCCCCATAGTGGTAGCAGGGTGCCATTTACCTATATATCGCATATATGTGTGAGCTATGCAGGGCAAAGTAAAAAAAGATTTAGGGTCGTCCCCCCACCCCCCCATTTACCTATATACCTATATTCGCAGATATGTGTGAGCCATGCAGGGCAAAGCAAAATATTTAGGTGTGTGTGTGTGTCCTGCCCCATTTACCTATATTCGTAGATATGCATGAGCCATGCAGGGCAAAGCAAAAGATTTGGGGTCCCTCCCATTTACCTATATTCGCAGACATGCGTGAGCCATGCAAGGCAAAGCAAAAGATTTAGGGTCCCCCCCAGTTACCTATATTCGCAGATATGCGTGAGCCATGCAAGGCAAAGCAAAAGATTTAGGGTCCCCCCCAGTTACCTATATTCGCAGATATGCGTGAGCCATGCAAGGCAAAGCAAAAGATTTAGGGTCCCCCCCAGTTACCTATATTCGCAGATATGCGTGAGCCATGCAAGGCAAAGCAAAAGATTTAGGGTCCCCCCCAGTTACCTATATTCGCAGATATGCGTGAGCCATGCAAGGCAAAGCAAAAGATTTAGGGTCCCCCCCAGTTACCTATATTCGCAGATATGCGTGAGCCATGCAAGGCAAAGCAAAAGATTTAGGGTCCCCCCCAGTTACCTATATTCGCAGATATGCGTGAGCCATGCAAGGCAAAGCAAAAGATTTAGGGTCCCCCCCAGTTACCTATATTCGCAGATATGCGTGAGCCATGCAAGGCAAAGCAAAAGATTTAGGGTCCCCCCCAGTTACCTATATTCGCAGATATGCGTGAGCCATGCAAGGCAAAGCAAAAGATTTAGGGTCCCCCCCAGTTACCTATATTCGCAGATATGCGTGAGCCATGCAAGGCAAAGCAAAAGATTTAGGGTCCCCCCCAGTTACCTATATTCGCAGATATGCGTGAGCCATGCAAGGCAAAGCAAAAGATTTAGGGTCCCCCCCAGTTACCTATATTCGCAGATATGCGTGAGCCATGCAAGGCAAAGCAAAAGATTTAGGGGCCCCCCCCCCCCCCGCCCCATTTACCTATATTGGCAGATATGCGTGAGCCATGCAAGGCAAAGCAAAAGATTGAGGTGTGTTTCCCCCTTTCCTTTCCCCAGCTGTTTATGCTCACCCTTCTATGCCTTGCCACTCTGTTGAGCCTCCAGCAGCAAAGAGAGGAAGCCCCAGGGAGGTAGATTCTCTCCCTGCTCCTGTTGGACAGTGCTGGGTGACATTGCATCCATTTTACTCTGAGCGAGTCACCAGCTATTCTCAATGAATCAAATGACCTGTTGTGTGCACTTGATGACTAGATTTAAAGTGCATGTCCAGGCATTACCCAAATGTATCCTGATACCTCTATCTTGCTCTACATCATGTCCCAGTAGTATTTGTTTTACCTTATCCCTACTGGGAGAAACCGCTTTTATTATTCCCTGCAACATCGTCACAAGTAGGGATGCACCGATACTGAGTATTTGGGGGAGTACTAGTACTTGCCCAAATGCTCAGATACCTTCCCCGATACCGGAACTTCTGGTCAGAGGGAGATTTCCCCTGACCGACAGTGCCATACGGAAAAGTGGCTTTCCGGGCAATCAGGAAGCCAGAACAGCCGGCTCCTTGCTGGGAAGCCGGCTTTCTGGCCAATTAGCATGGAGCCTGCTTCCGGCGGGTCATTACTTACGGCTTCCTGATTGCCCGGGAAGCCGGCTCCGTGCCAGCGGAAGCACCGGTATCATTACTCGGTATCAGTACTTGATACCGGAAAACCATTATTGGTTTATCCCTAATCACAAGGCTTGTTCCAATATTGCAGAGGCAGCAGCTGAGAAGTTAGTTCTCGGTTTGGTAGGCACTACCCCAGAACCACATCTCCCAAAAGCTTTTTTCTTACACTACGAGACATATTTATAAAGCAGAATTTGACTTTAACTAAACTTTCACTGGCGGTGAATCAAACACTGCACCAGGAAGATTCATCTGAAGTCAATGTTTGGTGAATGTCCGATTGCTTAATAAATAGACCCTCGATGTGGGGGCATGCTATTGGATTGGATTCAAAGAAGCAACATATTTGTGCCCGGTCAAAAATCAATGTATACACGTTGAGGGGTGCGTATAGGAGCGGTTATGTAGTCCAGCAGGCAAGGCTGGCAGTGCTGATTGAGATTTCTGTGTAGCAAAGGCACAGACATTGATGTTGGTCCCCCAGAACGAGGCATAGAGGGGTGGTGATGGGCAGCATTCTGTAATCCAGCAGACAGAGCTGACGATGCCAGTTGGGATATGCGTGCAGCAAAGGCACTGAGGGGAATTTATCAAAGCTGGTTTTCATCACTGCGAGCACCACTTTTTTTCTTATCTGGCCAGGACTGCTGTGGGGAGTGCGGAGGGTCTCTCCATCGACTTTTATCCAGGGGTTGGGCAACTCCGGCCCTCCAGCTGTTGCAGAACTACAATTCCCATGAGGCATTGCAAGCCTGTCAGTTACAGGCATGACTCCCAGAGGCAGAGGCATGTTGGGATTTGTAGTTAAAGCACCGCTGGAGGGATGGAGTAAAGAAAGACAAAACATCCCAAGGACATAGGCAGATCAACAAACTTTTCTTTGTACAGATTGGGGAATTTTGCACGTGTTGGAGGAATGTTCTGAATAGTTTTCTTTCATTTTATCTACATACACATAACAGAAGCCGGCCATTATTGTTCCATATGGGATGGAATCTGACCAATGTCCTTTCTAGGACACGTGGACACCGTCCCCTCCCTTGTGGCTTCCTTTGTCTTTGAACGACTTGCCTTCACGTGCGCTTCAAGTATTGCGGTTGCGTGGCTCTCTGCATGGCTCTCTGTCTATAAAGGAATGCATTAATGCGTGTTTGTTCAGCCCGTCTTCTCTCTGTATAAACTTGGATCTTGGTGTTTGTGTAATTTAAGAACTTGTTTAACCAAAGAGTCAGCAGGCGGAAGTCCAGCTTAGAAAGGGAGGGAGAATAGGGAGCGTGCGTGTCTCCAGTCTCTAGTGTTTTCCTGCTTCGTCTCACTGTTACCTCTTCTCCTCCAATAGGTTTAACGCACTTCATTACTATGGACCTGCATCAAAAAGAAATTCAGGGATTCTTCAACATTCCCGTGGACAATCTCCGAGCATCTCCCTTCCTCTTACAGTACATCCAGGAAGAGGTACGCTTCGATATCCAGAAATGCTTTTATTTTTTTGTGAAGTCTCAGATTCTCTTAACGCTATCAGTAAGGTCTCATGGGCCCGGACAGAAATGGCCGTATAGTGCGCAGATCGACCTTCTCTGCTCGGGAGGCACGGTTCTGCTGCACGGCTGTGTGCGGTTTGGGTTGGATGTGGTGCTTGGATCTTTTTTTCAGCCGTACATACCGTGTTTCCCCGAAAATAAGACACTGTCTTATATTTTTTTTGGCTCAAACAAAACACTCTAGGTCTTATTTTAGGGGGTAGGGATCTTATTTTTTTTTTTATGTACAACAATCCAAAGTTAGTGCAAATCCAAATTTAAATAATCCAAAATGGCAAAGTTAAGAATAGGGTGATCAGGGATGCTGTAGCTTTCCAAGAGCATTTTGGTAACCAGAATAAGCGAAGCGCGCTTTCACTATATAGATTGCTCACAGGCGGAGTGTATTTGGTATCACTCCGCCTGTGACAGGAGCCGGCGCTATAGAGGAGGCATCGGCTTATGTGGCTCTGCTCCCTACGCTGCCACCTCACTTCCTCTAGTGCTGGCTTCGTTGGCACCGCTGATTCTCTCCCGCGGCGCTTCAAGTTCCCCCTTATGCCACCACCGGCCCTGGGAAAGGTTGCAACAAGGTCTTATTTTCGGGGTAGGTCTTATATTTTAGCAATTCCCAAAAATGGTACTAGGTCTTAATTTCGGGGTAGGTCTTATTTTCAGGGAAACAGGGTAGTTACCTTCTTTGGGGGACACAAAAAGCAATCAAATCCTGGCACAGGTTCTAACCCTTCCCCTCTTTATAATAAAAATTAAAAAAAGATTGTTTGGAGTGGCATAAAAGGCCTTGTGCATATGGCCAAGAATATCCCTGCAACACACAGATCGGACATTCTCTGCCCGGGTGTCATGGTTCTGCTGCACGACTGCGAATGACAGGTTGACTGAAGCTGCGGCTGTACAGCTATATACACAAATCCCATTGGTTACATGCAAACAGGACTTGGGCACTGCCTCAAACTTAGACCCTCTGCATATGGGCCGGTGTGTAACTCCCTGTACTCATGTAAGCAATGGGATTTGCATATATAGCCGTACAGCCGCAGCTTCAGCCAGTCTATCAATGATTTCCACAGGCTGGCTGTATGCAGCTGTGCGGCACAACCGTGACTCCCGGGCAAAAAGAAAATTGCCGGTCAGTGCGCTGCAAGTTTATTTTTGGCACAAGGTCTTAAAGGAGAACTATGAGTGGAGTGATTTCCACTCATCCTCATAGAGAGCCGACCTGTGACAAAGCAGCTGTCACAGGTCAGCTCTATCGGGAAGTGAGCGAACACATACCATCACTCGCTCACTTTCCAATCGTCTCCCTGCAGTGAGCAGTGACTGTCAGTCCCAGCTGTAGCGCTCTCAGTATATTGCGGGCAATAGCTCGCCATATACTGAGTTTTGGGTCACAGGAGGAGGTTAGTACATGTCCTCCCGTGAAAAACACTCACCCCATAGTTCTCTATTAAATGCCAGTGCAAAATGTAAAAAAAATAATAATTGTAAAGTGGGAAATGGTTCGAACCAGTGCTGGTTGTTGATTACTTTTTGTATCCCCAAAAAGAAGGGACGTATGTAGGGATAAAGAAGGGATCCAAGCACCACATCCAACCCAAACAACATAAATAATAACAAATTCCACTAAATATTGGATATAAAGGACCTTTTAGGGTACCACGCAAAGCACTATGTACAATATTTTAATGCATGTTAAAAAGAGGTTTGTGCCGCGACCCACTGCAGAGGGTGTCGCGACCCACTTTTGGGTCACGACCCACGAGTTGAGAACCACTGCTCTAAACAACTCCAAAGCATTGACCACAACACACATAACTATCATAGAGTGACTATACACCCCCATACATGTACCCTGTGTTTTCCATCAGTCAGATATATATTGTCAGGTGCCCAAACATAGGCTCCTCACGATTTATGACGGCCAGCTGTATCACATTGTGGGGCAGGGTCACTTTCTGACCACATTTCACAGAGCTCTGCATTCTGGGGAAGAAATTGTGTTCCATTGCGGCCTCTGGAACGCAAGCCGGCCGGGTCCCTGCTTTCAGGAGTGAGAGGGGGCATGGCGATGCATTGAAGTCGATGGCACCACAGCCACTTCCCCCCGCCCGCAGTGCCTGGCAGCATTTTTGCAGATTGCACTGGACTGGATCGCAGGCACTACTGTGCCACGCGTTCGTGTGCGGGCGATCGCGTGGGGGGGGGGGCGTGTATGCGGTGCCATTGACTTCAATGCATCGCCATGCCCCCTCCCGCCCCTGAATGGAGGTGGCTGGCGTGTGTTCCAGAGGCCGAACATTCAGGAACGCAGACTTTGTGGTGTGAACCGGCCCTTAAAGGAGACCTGTGCTAAAAGAAGTATGGCACCTGCCATTGCTTACCACCTCCTTCTACAAGTGCTAGCTGCCCGTGGCTTCAGTACTTTCTGAGTCACTGACCTGGAATAAATATGTAATGAGCCAAATAGAGTGAAGTCAGCATTACCATAAGGAACAAGCACTCTCATAAGGAGAGGTTAAATATGGCGACTCCATTGCTTCCTCTATAGGTTTCCTTTTTCAGAACACTTTAGGAGACCTTAGAGTAGATCTAAACCCAATCACAACAATCTCCTGTAACCTTTAATGTGCCAAAAGTTGAGCTCAGTCTTTTACAATCTGCAGCTTTCATTAAAATATTACCCGGTAATCCTAAAATAGAAGTCCTTGTTCAGGCACTTCCTGTTATGGGGTGACAACTGTTATGGGGTGACAACTGTCTCCCAGTTGTGCTGTCACCCTGTCAAATACACCCCTGATTGAAAGTCGGAGCTTCGCTGCACCAGAACTGATGAGCCGTACTAGTAGCCTCAACACCTGCTTGTTGTAGCCCCATGGTTTGTGGTGCCTCCTTGGCTCAGCACCTGCCTGTAGTGTGACCTTCACTTCAGTACCTCTTACAGCAGTCAGTGGTTTGGAGGCTGTACAAGGGCTTATCTGTGTGTACAAGACATGAAAATGAACTGCATAAGGAGCACGGGGGAGGCTTGTGACTATGTCCTTGGGCTGTTTTGCCTTTCTTTATTTTGCATTGCCGGTATGGCATGGGTGGCAACTCCATCCCTCCAGCTGTGCTTTAACTACAAATCTCAACATGCTTCTGCCTCTGGGAGTCATGCCTGTAACTGTCAGTTTTGCAATGCCTCATGGGACTTGTAGTTCCACAACAGCTGGAGGTCCGGTGTTGCCCACCCCTGTGATAGGGAGACATTGAGGCTGCATGACTGGTTACAGAATGTGGAGTGGTGACACAGATTTTAAGCTTCCAGTGTCCATAGGGACACTATAGGGACTTGTGTCAATGCTATTGCAGTTTTTTGCTTTGTACATTTGTGTTTTTAAACTGTTATGTTATCTCTCTTTTTATGATCTACAATCTTTGTATTACATATAAACATTTATGATGCAACAAAGGATTTCCCCAAGCAGCATAAGTTAGCTAAAGACAACACAGAGAAAGCTTGCTTTGAGGTTCCCTGTCTCTGATTGAAAACGTGTTCTACTGATATGGGAGGAGTCACTGTTGTGATAGTGAATCCTGTAAACAGCAGGCTTCTTTGAGCTGCTCATGATGTGAAAATGGGACTACAGCTCCACCAGGTGGCTGGATAGAACATTGCATCATATATAAAATATTCAAATATATATACCGTATGTTAAAGGCTAAAGTATTAGCTGTATTTGTGGGAGGAGTTCGAACCGGCATCTCACTATTTAGATGGGGAGGTGACTCGCCTGCATCGCTCGTTTCAGCAGACCCTCCCTCCCCCTTTCTTTTAAATTCACAAGAGTATGCCCCCTTATTTTGGTATTACTGACCACCTAAATCATGACACACCTCCAGGTTTGTATTTGGTAGGAGGGTTACACTTCATGAGCGTGTGGGACTCTGACCACAAATATATATATATTATAATCAGTTTTCTTTTTCTTTTTCAGCCATGATTATAATAAATATAGAATAAAATGTATACAAAACTATGATACATCCCCTTTTATACTGGAAAAAGCAATTCAATCTGATATTAAAAGCAGACACTGGCCCCTGTACATCTGCTTACCTTCCTGGTCTGATTTAAAGGACGTCTCCTCTTCTGTTTTGTCTTTCCCCAGCAAGCTGAACCATTTCCTGGCCCTTTACCTCTCTAAGGCTGGTCTGTACTTGGCTGGTTTTGTTGCGTTCCATCAGTTTATAGCCACAAATATCTAACGTTACAGTTATCAGCGCCAAAACATTTGGAATTGGTGTGCAGATCAGTCATGGGGAGCCTTTTGATTGGCTCTGCTAGATTTCAGCACCAGTTTTGACAGTTGGGTTTCTCAAAATGAATGGAACCGGATTTGTAGACCCAGATGTAAACAGAGAGGACTAAATATTCTATTTAAGATAAGACAGGCAAGAGAGCATGGGACACAGGAGAGCTCTGAATTTCTGACAACAGCAACAGTGATTTTTTTTTTTTTTGCTTTATATATGGCAAATTATGTCAGTGGTCTATTTAACAGACCACAATGGGGAAAATAAGAGAAGTTAACGAAGAACTCTCGGCGTAATTAATCTTAAGCCTTGCAGTGGGTCTACCCTTGCACTGCAAGGGGTAAGCGCTCGTTTCCTGTAAGAGACGAACATTGAAAAGATGTACTCGCCTGAACCTCGGAGCCGACTGGCTGCTACTTCAGTCCCTGCCACCTGTTTCCTCCTCCCCCTCCAGCGGTGGATTGTCCCTTGGCATCCTCATGTCCTATACACTGTATAAGAATCCAATGACTCATCGGACTCATCTCCTATACACTGTATAAGAATCCAATGACTCATCGGACTCATCTCCTATACACTGTATAAGAATCCAATGACTCTTCGGACTCATCTCCTATA